CTTTTTAGCCCTCTCCCCCATTTCTATTCTCTAGCCCTGCACCTACAGCCAGATTTCCCATTCTTGATCTTCAGTCTCCTTGTGCAAATTTTGTTCAACAGCCTACACTGCATATAAAATCAAATAGTAAAGACACTAAATCAGTACAATTAATAAATAAAGCCATAAATCAATCTTTTATAAATATCATCTTAGAAGACTGCTAGTGAGCATAATTTAAAAAAGGGAAGATGAAAGAGAACATGTATGTATTTAAAATTAAAACAAAAAATTTAAATCTACTGCAGGTTCAGAGACACTAAAAAACATGGAAGACAATACAAGTACTGCTTGAGAGTAATTAACCTTGAAATTTAGGAAGAGAAGAAAATTTCTAGGATAAGTGAAGTGTACAAATTAACAGAGTGAAAATTTGAACGTGCAAATAACTATGGACAATACTAAGAATGGTAATCAAAGAAGTACCCCTAAGTAAGGAACCGGTCCCCTACAATGTTACTAAGCAAAGTTTTGCAGCACTGAATCATTGAGGTCCTATTGAAATGTTTCCAGCACACGAACAAACACAAACAGGTAGCTCTAAATTCTTCTGTGAAACACGTACAGATAGATTTTCCTTGAGCCATGATGGTTCAGTTTATGATATTTTTCTTTGCAATGAGACAAAAGCACCAAGCATCCAGAAGAAACTACTTCAAATTTTGCACTTTGACCTTTTTGCAAGCTAGTGATATAAAGTATGATAGCTTCTTGTGATGCTGGATTGCAGCCACCAGCCACAGGATGGTGAGGGAAATGACACTGTGCGTGCCGTGTTGCTGAGCTACGATATTTGGCAGGTTAGGTCTAAGAAATGCATTTTCAACTTAATTATATTTTCAACTTGGGAAGAGTTTATTGGAACATGACCCTACCACAAGTGAAGGAGAATCTGCGTAACTTGCCATTTAAACCTGAGAAATGTAAGGACATAGACTGGAATTACTTATGCATATTTACACTGTTGCTTCTGCACAATAGAGTTATTGTTTAGAAATGGCTGCTCTGGGCCATCTATTCTGCTCTCACAGTGGAATTCAAGTGGAAGCACTGTGTTCGTTTTCAGGCTGAGATTGTCTTAATAAGTGTGTGGGATGCTCTCATTTTTACTGGTTCGATTCAGAGGATGACTAGACTATAGGGCAAGGAAACTATGGGCTATGAGCCCAGGGTGTGTTTTTGTAAATAAAGTTTTATTGGAACACGGCCATGCCTGTTTGATTACTTATTGCTGTGGCTACTTCCATACCACAGTGGCAGAGCTGAGCAGTTGTGGAGACAGAGTCTAAAGCATTCACTAGCTAGTCCTTTAAGAAAAAGTGCCACCACGCTGTAGGGCGTGGTGGGACAACTAGACAGAAGGACCCTGCCATGGAGAATTTGTAAACCCTGAATTGTGTAGGGGCAAGAAACACAATTCTTTATTAAGATGACAAAGTTTTGTGGTTGCTTTTGCAGCTAATGTTAGTCCAACTAATAACACAACAGATGCAAAATCCCAAAGAAAATAATAGTAATTTCTAAAAAAAAAACAAAAACCAAAAAACTCCATGAAAGAGTGTTTCCAGAAATTTAAGGGCAATTAGAAATGTAGTAATATCAGGGCTGGGGATTTAGCTCAGCGGCATAAGCGTGTGCCTTGCAAGCAGGCAGTCATGAGTTCGATCCCTGGTACTGATAAAAAGGAAAAAGACAAAAAAAAAAAAAAAAAAAAAAAAAAAAAAAGAAATGTAGTAATACAACATGACTAAGTTGAAAAAGAAACTCCATTTTCACATAATTTGGAAGCATTTTTAAAACTCAGCGTCTGGGGGCTGGGGATTTAGCTCAGCGGCATAAGCACCTGCCTTGCAAGCAGGTGGTCTTGAGTTTGATCCCAGTACCGATAAAAAGTTAAAAACAAAAACAAAAAACAAACAAACAAACAAAAAAAAAACTCAGCGTCTGTCTTGGTTACTTTTCTGTCATTGTTGAGACAAAGTACCTACTATTGAAAATCAGGGAAGGAAAATTTATTTCTTACAGTTCTTGGAGGTTTCAGTCCATACTCAACTGGCTGCAAGGCAGGGTGGCAGGTATTCATGGCATTTGTAAATGGAAAAAGTGAACAGTGCAAAAGAGAAAGACACACCTTCTTCCCACCATTACACTGTATCTGGCTCCACCCCTGGGTGAGTGTAGCACAGACCATCAATCTGCATGCTAAACAATGAACCAATCACAAACACTAGATTTGGCCACATCCATGATTGCATGAGAATTGGGGCTGGGGGCAACTGACATAAATCATGACAGCAGCCATCTTGTAAACTACTTTTAGTAGCATAGGAATAGAAAAGTATCTCTTTAGAGTATATCCAGTGCCAAAGTGAACATCATAGAAGTGATGACTGCAGACATTCCCTTTTAGCAGGGAAATGAAAATGTGCTATTGTCAATATGACATAGCACTATGACAAAACATAAAACATAACGCAATATATGGTATCACTTGTGAAGCACTGCCAACATCCCAAGAACAATTATATTCTACTATGTAAATGGCCTGTAATTATTCATTATATTATCAAGATATCATTTATTGCGTATTATATGTGCTTTATATATCATACACACAACTTTATTTACAAGAATTTTATCTACTATGTTTTGTATGTAATAAGATATACTAGTTTCATATGATATAGTATATTATACATGTTACAAAAATTCGTATATTTTATAAATAAATGTATGATATGTTTATCAGTAAAATATAAGTAAAACACATGAAAATTATATATAATTTATATACTCCATAGACTTTAAACATGACCTACTATGTTACTATAGTGATGCTGCTTTTCAACTACAAGCCAATGCAGCAAGGCAGAAAGATTATGTGGGAAATAAATTTCTATGTTTTATAATTGTGTACTTAAACAATTTAAGATAAACTGATAAACTACTGAAACAGTGAAAGAAATCTTCAAAGAGGTCCATAAAATAAGTGTGTAAAATTAGTAAGTTTCTCTAAGGTCAACGATAATCCATGTGACTTTATTAAAACAATAACAAACTTTGCTAAGAGAAATAGAAGTTGTGAGTTAGTAGAGAGGGACACTGTCCCTGCCTTGGAAGAATAAACGTCTTTAAGCTCTTGGATTCACCATAAATTAACTCATAAATTCCCTACAATATCAAACAAAATTCTAACCAGACTAAAATTGGCATATGAGAAACTAATGATAATTTTCACTTGAAATCCATTTATGAGAGTAGCCAAGAAACATTACAAAAATCAGATCAATATTAAAAAATTTTGAAGGTAGATATTTATGAAATAGTGAAATGTTATAAAATTGAAGAAAAAATAAAACCAGACCTGTCTCTTAAAGCAATTAAATACTTTCAGAGGTAGTCAGGATTTAAACGTAAAGATAAAAGCCTGTAAATAAATTGTCAAAAGATAGTCTAGGTGGAAGATCTCTATATTTCTCTATACTCGTGAGCTAGGAAATAATCAAAAAACTCAGAAGCAAAAAAGAAACAGATGAATAGCCTATTCATCCAGAAACTTAAAACTAACATTAGCAAATCACTATACACAAAATCAAAAGGCAAAGGACAAATCAGTAAAAGGCTGGGTGATGCCTGTGACGGATGGATGGTTCCTTCCTGCTATAAAAATAGCATTTACGAGGCAGTGATGAGGAACATGCCCAGTAGAAGAAAGAGAAACTCACCGTGACACATAGCCACATGAAGAAATATAATCTCACCGTAAAGCAAAGTAAGCAAAGTTAAAAGATTTTCACCTATCACATAAAAACGAATCACAAATTTATAAACACGGAACACGATGCTTCAAGGGATGGCTGATGGAGACCTTTCCTGTCTGACATCGTATCAGGGCGATGACTGGAAGACTGCATTGCTGAGCATCCTCGGTTCAGTTCAAAGGCATAAGATATGCATGTGAGTGTTTAGTGTAGAGGAAAAGTTAAAAAAAGGAGATCACAATGGGATTCCAGAGGTGGGTGATTTTACATGCCTGGAGTTGGTATTTTCATATTGACAGGTTCTGAAGATAAATTTCTCATGGCCTCTAAATGGAGGAGGGCAAAATTTTAAAATGTAGATCCATTTGACACATTGCATAATAAATTTTGTTTTGGGTAAAATGCCCTTATGCACAGATTTTGACAATGAGCCAAAACATTTAGAAACATTGCTAACTAATATTTATCAGTATTCCCAGAGCTTTTTATGGGCCTAATTGGAAGGAAGTCAGTTATAAGGGTGTTCAGCACCCTTTGATCCCTCCTGCAACTACCTCCCCAGGTTCCGTTCAAAATTCTCCACAGATGAATTCAGCACCGGCAGACTATTTGCATTCGTCTAGACTCAAGTGTCCAAAAAACTTTACAAGATGACTTTGTGAAATCTATGACAAAATTAATGCTTGTGTCCCTTCCTTGAGTATTTGTTCTTGGATGTCACAGAGCACCAGAAAATCATCAAGAGTGTTCACATGCATTAGGTAGGATCAGCCTCCTCCCAAGAGCCTGGGGCAGGTATCTCAGCCAGGCCAGGTGGCTTGGGAGAGCCCCTGGCACACGGCAGCCAAACTGGGCTCAGAGTCCAGGAGTTGTGATTTCACCTTTCTTTAGGAAAGAAAGCTACAGGGCACTGTGCCCATGACTTCTTAAGGTGGGGTCATATAGGGGAAATATTTTCAGGATTACATCTGGTCAGGGTCTCAACCTGCCTAAGATGAGCAGATCTGGCGTCTGTTGATTTGATCTTTGAGTGCTCTTGGGTGACTTTCTTCCTCCTCCCTAGGCCATCTAGGGAATAACAGTCACACTGATAGAGGGACCCATGCCACAGCTCCCATCCAGGGGCCCCTACTATTATGGCCCCTCGTGTTTCTGAGTTCCACGAGCACCAGGGACAGGCACCCCATGTATTCTAACTACCTTTTATGGCTTCTTTCACAGCAGAGTCCACAGGCAGGATGTTCTTTTCCACCAGTTCTAGTGGCCCTGGGCGGAGAGCAATCTTCTCATTGAGATCATCGGCAAGGCGGGCTCTTTTAAGCTTCATCTGAGCAGTTGGAATGGACCTCTCCGTGGTGGAGGCTGAACGGTTGAAAAGAAAAGGTTCAGTTTTGGAGTCTGATGTCTTTGTTATGTTTTGGTTTTGGCTCGTGGCTATAAAACACTGTGTCACCTCGTGTCCTAACATCCTGATAATTTTTCAATGGAATCATCATCACTTCTCAAGGATTAACAGTGAACACTAGATACTTCCAAATAAAGGCAAATAGAGAGGCACAAAGAAAACTTAGAGAAAATTGTTTTGTGAGGATTTGTGGGGGAAAAAAATGCAATTTGGAGATTTTGCAGGCAAGCATTCCATGGGGTCCATGTTACTTGCCTAACCCTATGCTGTGAGATTTGGATGGTGAACGGTTAAGATTGAGCTGGCAGGAAATGCAATCTAAGATTAGAACAAGGAGCAATAGTATGATTTTTAAGGGTTTCAGACTTATCAACACTGTGATGCCAACCAGAATCAAATGTTCAGGTTGTTTACAAAAGAAAACATCCTTTTAAACTATTATTTAATTGAACAGAGGGATTCTTAAGAACTGAATTTATAGTACAGGTTTTTTAATTACTTGGAGGGTGAGAAAGATTATACACGGAGCCCTTACACCCACCCCTAGATGGCTGACACCAAGCTTCCTCTTTAGCGTTGATCCTAACTTAGTTCTCTGGAAGAACTTGAGAAAGAATTCAGCTAACTTTTCTACAATGAAAAGATGTAAGCTAAGATTCTAGAAGTGTTTGCAGCCTTGATCTCAGCTGTATGACTTTAGCAAATGATGTGTTTATAGACAAACCTCTCAGCCCCATGATTCTACCATCACACCTATGACTTGAGCTCTGTGTCCAGGGACGGATCTAGAATTCTCCATTCAGGAGACATCTAAGCAGTTGTACCAAGTAGGGTCCTAGCAGGCCATTGCAAAGGCTCCTTCTAGACTCTTTGCCTCGGGTTTTCTTGTCAATTCTGCACATAAACCCAGCACTAATCTTCAGAAGTTCCTTTCATTTTGTATTACCCCTACAAGCTGGCCCTCTCTATCCAAGCCCGCCGCAAACTGAGTTTACCTCCCATGATGTCTGGTAGGTTTCCATACCAAACATACCACCCCAGTGAGTTTGATCTTGTCTTCTCTGTCTCCCCAGCCTGTTGTCTTACTGAGCTCACCTTTGTACCTTTGTATCTTTGCTTCCCTAATATATCTCCACCAGGAACATACAATTCCTTGTATTTATTTTTTTAAGGACGCAGCAGAAAGCCTACAGGTTTCTGGTTGGTTTGACTGCCTCTGATGGTTACAAGCACAGGCCTTTTATCTTATTTTCCTATTTATGAATTTAGGTGTTAAACTCCTGGAGGATGGGGCTTATTTTGCATCTAGCAGGTCTGTGGTGCCAATCCCCCATTTCTGTTTGGGCAGAAGACAGGATTACAGAAAGCCAGAAATAGCTTGATATTTTAATGAGAGACTGTAATGATGTAAGAAATAGCTTTTTTTGGTGGTACTGAGGATTGAACCAAGGCTTAGTATATGCCAGGAAAGTGCTTTGCCACTGAGACACATTCCCAGCCTTCGAAATAACATTTTGTATGTTTTTTTTGATTATAGCATTACTACTTACTCATTATCATTAAGTATGAAATATGCCAAAGAAGTATGCACAAGGACATGAAAGCCTCAGGAAACTCGCCACTTATAGTGAATACTGTTAGTACTTGGCAACCCTCTTAGTTATGGTATTTATTATTAGGTCTACATTTTTTCCTTCCTAGAATCTGTCTATAAATGTGTCTTATCTTTATATATATATATATATTTCTTCCCAGAATTTGACTATAAATATATTTTTTTCTGCTCTTTTCACTAAACATCTTGTAAGCCTTTTCTTATTAAGTCACCAGTCTTTGAATCCTTGCTTGCAGTATCCATGTGGCATTTAATTGCACGACGAGCCACAATTTATTCAGCTAATCTATTGTTGGACATTTCACCATATTCAATGTTTCATTTTCTAAAGTAATTCCATGATAAACATAATTGTACATAAATCTTTGCATGGGTGATTATTTTCTTTAACTAAAATATGAGAAATCACAACACAAGCTAAAGAGTAGATACATTTTTTAGAAGTTTGATGCACATTGCCAAATAGCCCTGTAGAAACAACGACCCAATGGTACTCCGACCAATTGTGTGGAGGAATACGTATCTCTCATATCCTTGCCACATACGATATTTATTTTTATTTGTTAAGCTGATCCTTGAAAAGTCCACATCTCATTTGAAAAAGCATTCTTTGGATTATTTGTGCAGCTGTGGTTTTGTGTTGATCTAGCAGCTGCTTCTAGGGTCTTTGCTATGATGTTTTTGTGGAGGAGGTGAGAATCTGTCACCTTCTCCAAACAGCTCTTGGTATCTTTTGGTTGTCTCCTATCAGTCTAAGCCTTGACGCTTACAGAACCTTTCCCTGGAGTGCTTGTTCTCTTTCATATCCTGAAAACAATTCTCCAGCTTATAATATCCCACCTCTCCTAAGGGCAGAAAATAGCCTTGGGAGACCGGATGAACGAGAAATAATAATGATTAAAGAACCAAGATTCACAACTTTCATGTTATTTGTGCTACTTAAGTGAGCATATAGTTAAGCAAGGCAATCTGCATTCTAGAGAGTGTCGGTGTATACGTGTACAGTTTCCTTAGCAAAACTCTTCTTCTTTCCCTTCATGGTTCAGCCTTCAAATTTCAGCTCATTTCTTTGCTCCTTCCCCGTCAATTCTGATTCAGGTGACTCTATGCACCCATTTCTTTGCGTCCATAATGCTGGATGGTCCCTCTTTTCATGTTGGATTGTGAATACTGATTCCAACACCTGCCTCCTTAACCATCTGAGAAAAACCTTTAAATGTGGGAACCTGCATCTTATTTATCCTCGTACGCAGATCAGTTAGCCTCTAGTTTGACAATACAGTACTTGCTTGATGAATAACTATTCCAAAGCTAGATCATTCAATAGTATGTGGAGACCAATAGTATGTGGAGGTCCCAACCGAGGGAAGGCAGTTCTTCAAGTAGTAGAAGCCTCCTTGCTCTCACCCCGGTGTCTGTGTATGGGGGGCAAATAGATCTTTGTCCTGTTTTCTCCTCGCCAGTGTGGTAGCAGGAATGGGGCCTGTATTAATCAGCACAGATCTTCTGGATTGTTACTCGCAGCAAACCAGAATATAAGGTCATCAGCAAAGCAGAATCAAGCCATTCCTGATGGCTATGGAAGTAAATAGAGGGCCTTGACTGCATCCCAAAATGAATGATGATCTAGGTTAATAATTATCAATGCACACTGAATATTTCTTATACACTCACAAAGGTTATACGACTTGCCCTGTCTTTAGAGTCAGGAAGTGGACAGATGAGATTGGAGTCCAAGATTAAAAGCTTATAATGGCTTCCCAGTTTGATTTTCAACATGGCTTAAAATGACTAAGATGACAGCTTGAAACTACCTCTGTAACGTTCAGAGAGATTTTATTTTTAAGGGTTTTTAACAATTGCACGGAGACAAAGAACGCTGGGAAAATAGTCCACCACTTGATGGAGGTTTACCAGCTTATGATTTAATAAGGACTTACCTTGGAGTATGTGCATATTAACCAAGTCAGCTTGGTCAGACCTGTTCCTGCCCTTTCGCCTAAGGGAATCTTCAGTCTATGGAACAAAAACATGGAGAATCACCTAGTTTAATATTTTAAACATTCAGTTTCTCTTAAAGGGAAAAAACTATTCTTTTCATGACAAATGGAACATAGAAATGTCCCTCATCTTCCAGTTTTGATGAAGAAACACAAAGACCACTCTAGGAGTTTTAGGATGGAAAACTAAGATTAAGAGGCAAAAAGCTTGGATCCAGGTCAGGATTACAGCCTTAAAGGACTTGAGCCAGGCAGCTACGTGTTAATGAAATATTAATACAAGAATTGTGATACCAAATTGCTTGTATTGGAATCAGTCCCATTTGACTCTTTCTTAAACGGTCACAAAATTAATCAAGGCTAGAGATACAACTGCATAGAAACTTGCTATGATAAGACCATTTTCAACCTTCTCCGTGATTCACCTGCCCTCTCTCTTAGGATGTAGGAAAATGCAGCCAGCAGATTTGGACTTTAGAAAGCATTTCGAAGTAGATCATTTACTCTATCTCATAATCTCGCCGGGGAAGCTGCTCAGTGGTGGCAAACATTTTAGGGCTTTCAGTGATAACAAACACCTACTTTGGCACACGTGCCATAGGTTCACCACCACCAGGCTGTCAGAGGGCCAGTTCAAGCTCTTGATTTCTACTAATAGGCTTTTATCTTACTATTTTAGGTCTCTGAAAACGGCCCGGGGTTCTCTCCAATTCTGATTAAAAAAAAAAAAAAGTCAACTGTTGCTCGTCATTTTCCAGGTAGTAGGAATAACAGCCACTTGCCAGCAGCTCTGAAGAGTTGCAGAGTTCCGCTCTTCCTGTGTCCCCACAGATAAGCTAGCACTCTCAGGCAGAGACACAGATGTCCCCTCCTTTCAGCCTCACTCCAAGTGCCAATGTTGCTAAATGGTATTTATACCATTGATAAATTCAGATGGCAGAGGTTTGTTGTGAAGGCACAGAATACGGCAATTTTCCCAAGAATGGAAAATCAACATTATTCCCTTTGCCTTTAAGCAGCTGAAAATAAGCTCTGTACTCACAGACCTGGCCTTCCCATTGAGCTGCATTTAAGAGAATCTGATTGTTACTAAGAAAAGGCTGCAGTAAAAGATAAGGCAGTTGCAAACCAGTCTTACTGCCCTTCTTAAGTGTTTTTGATCCTTAGTGCATCCTTGCTGTGATTTCCTCCCAAACCAAAAAGACCAGCGACATTTTGTTTAAATATTAAAAAAAAAATAAGTTTCAAAGCTCACTTAGAGAATTCCATTTCCACCATCAATAGTTCAGAAGAGTGAGCTTCCAGAAGAGGAGCAGGTGGATTGGAGTTGGTTGAAGAAATTCTATATGCATCAGCCAGAGTTTAGCATTCAGAAATCTACAAACTATAGTCCAAGTCTAGAAAAGGCAGTGTGCAAAAATTACCTTGTTACTATCCAAATTTTTTCTTTGCTCATGGAATGTAGTTGGAGTTTTCAGTGCTGAAACAGAAAGACAAAGACATGAGCAGAGGCTGGGTGAGGGGCTGGTCAGTGCTGCAGGGCTATGCCGGACAGTGTTGGCTGAGCTATGCGCAGTCTGGAAGTGGTTGCCATGACTAGGCCACAAGCAATGAAAAATGAAAGGCCTGGAGGTGGCCAGCTGCCTGGAAGCCACGAGAGACAGAAGGAGGTGGAATTCAGTCCTAGCAGCGGAGGCAGAATGCGTGATAGAAACAGAAGTGGTGGAGGCAAGGGCATTCCAAGGTCCTGAAGAAACAGAGTCAGAAATAACATGGTTTAAGGGAGGAGGTGGACAGCTAACTAAAGTCCTCGGCAACTTAGCTCTGCTCTTGAGTTCAAAAGCTGGGTGGTCTGCATAGGGGTGTATTGCGGGAAGGGACTGTACTTTGGATACGGGATGTGTTTGGTGGTCATGAACATGCAAACAAGGGCATTTAGTGAGCAGCAGGTAATTAGACTTTGAGGGCTGGAAGGAACCTTGGAGATAGGGAAGTTCGGTCCTGAATGAAATGAGGAAGCTGAGGTCCATACAAATGGATGACTTGCCCGGGATCACACAGTTAGGAATTGGAGCCTAGGTCCTCTGATAACTCTGACTTGTTTCTGAGTGCACTACTCAAACTTCTAACACTCAGCTGATGCTGCACTGACTGTCACACGTAACACAGGGTAGCTGTAAATCACCAGCACCAAATACCTCCACTATTTCCTCTATCTCCCACCCATCACTCATCTGCAGCACCTCTTCAGGATGTCTCAGTGAGCTCTTTTTGAGCAAAAGAAATGGAATACCCAGCAAAACTACATTTTGCATTGATTTGCCTTGTTTCCTGGAGAACACTCATTCAGAAGCCATCAACAATCACTTTTCATTACCAGTGATAAGGTTGATTAGAAGTTACAGATTTGCACTGATTTCTTTCAAGTTTTAAGTCCAGAAAAATTGATGAATCACATGATACAGAGTTCTCCAACTACTCTAACACAAGCTCCCTCTTAAATTACAGACAATGAAGTATTCTTCCAAATCTTGGCTGGCATAAAAATTAGATTTTTGGCCAGATCAGCAGGTAAGACCATGTATTGCACATATGCCTCGATCAGGTCTTATGCATGCTAAGCGTGAGCACAGTTTCCAATAAGAATAACTGGCATCAAGCTGTAGTAATGGTGGATACCGTAATGGTGGTTGACCTATTTTCCTCCACGTAGGATGCTGCTTGTCACGTTACTAGACAATTCTCTATCAAGTTCCCTGCCTCACTAGCAATTTTGAACAGAGACATACAAAATAATCCCAGTGACCTGGAGCCCAAAATAGTTGATATTTTTCCTTCTCTTCACTAGAGCTGGAGATTGACAGGTCTGTTTTTATTGCAAAAATATTTTTTTTTGCTTATGTATTATATTTTTCACTGATCTTGAAACTGATTCTTCAACTTCTCGATTGCTGTTTTTACTCTTAACGTGGGCTTCTTTGTTACTAGAGATGGCCCCTATCTTTCCACTTCTTCTTACTCAGTGACTCTTGAATGTGTGACTTCTGTGTTTTCTTTGATTTGGGTCTGGACACCCCGCCTAGAAAGGGCGCTTGGTTTTTTTTCTACATTTGATCACAGCTGGAATTTGTATTGAAGATGTCTAACCATTAGTTTCCTTTCTCCCAGAAACTAGATCACAAAGTGTGCTCAAAGAACAGTGGGTCCCTGGTGAATCTTTGTAATCTGAACTATCAGGCTGTCTCTCTGCACCATCACCTGGGGATCATTTCATTGAGTATTACTTATTAATATGGTTTAATTACTTATATCATGCAGAAAAAGAACTGACTTCAGAAACGGGGTCTCTATTGAGTGGTTAAAAAAATAACACATTCTTTTACTTCACAAGTTACCCAAAGGGAGCAGCGTGAATATATCTTGAAATATCTCACATACTCCAAACATGATTGGTTTTAACTAGGCTTGGAATTTGAGAGGGATTTATCTGATTTTCTCCCCCCTGAAGATCTTCATTTCTTATTGGTGGAGCTTGTTAACTGTCCTGAGAAATACCATGGTTCCTGTAACTTAGTTTCACATAGCTACAACTAATCACTTCTTCATGTTAACAACTACTTTAGGAAATGATCCACATGGTCAAGCTCTGGTTCCAGGGGCACAAAGGTCTTCTACTCAAGGGTGGAAAGCTATGCCCATTTAGTAAGGTCTTGGAAAGAATACCATAGAGGTCCACGCATTGCTTTTGTCACAAGCTTCTCTCCTTGGGGCTTAACGGGGTTATGCGGGACACCGGCTTGAGGTCACACAATGGAAAACTCCCCTGCAATGCTGTCGGGTCAAGGTTCACCTTCCCCTTGACTCCAGAGAACATGGGTTTTAGCTATCTTCCCCGAGGGCCTGTAGCAATTGTAATGGTCCCCATCCCCAGTTGAGTTTTTGGAAAATACACAAAGGACCACTTGTGCTTGCCAGCCTGGGGAGTATCAAATGGCAAAACTTTGTATATAAAGGACATTGACATTTAAGATTGAAAAGGAATTTGGATTTCTAAATTAAAAAAATAAGTCCATGTGATTTCAAATTAAAATACGGTTATAAATCCAGTCAGCCACACATTTGACTTGTTCCCTCTAGAGGAAGATTAATCGCTCCTCACAGGGGAATTCATGTTCTCGCCTCAGAGTTTAGTTGCTGGCTATTCCTATTTCTGTCCCCACAGCTCCAGCTAATTTAGGTCAGCTGTGTGTATAAACATTTGCTTACTTAGAATTCGTAAAATGATCCAGAGATAAGAACAGGGCTCTTGTGGTCTGCCTTGCTCTAGTCAAATCTCAGGACTCTGAGGGGACCCTAAGTAATGGAGAAAATAGGCCACGGGGCCACGAAGTCTCCATTTTGGGGGGACATCTGATCTTAACACACAGAATTGGAATCTGTCATTGGGAGACCCAGACAGCCAAGGCAAGGCTGTTGCTAGGTGTGATTTCTCTCTAGGGACCCCTCACTAGAGCGCTCAGTGAGAACCCAGTTCCCTTGGAGCTGGGAATAAAGACCAGCATATTCAAGGAACCAGAGACCCGCGGAATCAATCAGACCCATGATTCTCAAAACATGGTCCCTGGGCCAGCTTTCTCACTGTCAATTGGGAATGTGCTAGAAATTCCAGTTCGTGACCTCTTTCACTCTGGAACTACAGCATCAAAGCCTTGGGGGACGGGTCACAGAAATGTGTTTGACCAAGCTATCCAGCTGATTTTGATGCCCAACGTTAAGAACTTCTGCTATGAAGTTTATAAGGCTAACGAGTCCCGATCTAGGATCCTTGGGAATCGGCATGTTTTTCTTAAAAAGGGAGAAATGAGTTACTAGGATTGATTTTCAATATTTCAAAAGAATAAAGACAAAGTTATTTCTGTCCAGAGAGAAAATGCTTAGGCTGGTGAAGCTCTCATTTTTCATTAATATCTAGAATCATTGCTACGTAGGTTTCGAAATGGGCTTTTTCATCAGAAAGCAATGGGTGTTAACTTTATATGCCATTGATCAATAGAAGATAGACATATAGATTAATAATTACTGTGGGTAGTGTTCTTTGGGGGAAAAAAAAAACTATTTCAGATGTAACATGTATGGCAGTGATGATGCAAGCAAAGAAGTCCTGGTTAATAAAAATGTAAGAACCATTCATCTGGGCCCTGTTCACATTTTGTCACCTGTGTTAGGTCTAATCTTGAGCTAGGACACTAAGCTTTCTGTCACTTACCAAATGGGTTTTCCACCTAGGTAAACATAGACTGGGTTGTGGGCACGTTTTTTCTGAGATCAGGATATTTGCTATGTGACATTACATTTTCCTTTTATATGGTAATACATAGCTTCTTCTCTACCCAAATGATAATCTTAGGGATCTAAAAACAGACGCTTTTTTCTCCAATGTAGCTGTGTAATATTTAAGACCTGGCCTGCACCCTTGCAGAATTTGATTCAACATTTGTGAATTTCTTTGAATTGGACATTGGAATCTCTCTGAAAAAAAAGGAAATGAAGACAAATTCAGAGTGTATCTACCATTATTGGTTTCCAGTTTCCAAGGGACAGGGAACTGGGAAATTGAACCAGAGATGAAGGAAATAAAAGAAGTTAGGATTGTTGATCCAAATGGACTTAAATAAAAATCCGAGGCATCTTTTCCTATCTCTGAAGTTAAGATGTTAGAAAGAAAGAAAGAGGAAGGTAGATTTAGCCCATCGTGCCGTGTTCTGCTCAGACAGCCAACAGTGTGTGGAAGGGTGCTGTGGGAAGAAGCCAAGTCAGACGAATGCTCTGAGGAAAGGAAGAGAGACTTTGTCCAGTCGACTTCTCAAAACTATGGTGAAGCTGCAGGGGGTGTGGTGCATCAACTACACAGGTCATTCGTTCTTCTTGCTATTCAGGACAATCACAGAATTCAGGGATTTACCAAGGCTTGGCAGTAAGTATATGGCTGCTGTAGCTTGAATTAGTCTGCAAAAAAAATAAAGGCAGCACCATTCACACACAACTCATTGCATCTCCAGGTTCTTTTACACCGATCAGCTCATGGAGCCTTTCTGTCCGAATATTGCATTCTGGCCAGCGGTGGCTATCTCTGAGACTGGGGACAGGTATCAGCCTCTTTGCCCTGAGAGTCTTCTATAATCCATTTTAATTCTCCTGCTCTCATGCTCTGTATTCCAGAATTCCTGTTTGTCTTTCCTGGTTCAACTCCATTAGATTCATTTTAATAGGTGAGAGAGAAAGAAATCATAATTTTTCTCTTTCAGTCCTGCCAATACTCATTCCCTTGTAGGGGCATAAAGCTGTATGAAATTAATATAAATATTGATTGAGTCACTCTATGACCATTTTATTCAGTGTAGTCCACATGGCTTGTTATGCTTCTACACTCAGACTTTGGTAGTAGTTAGAATCAGATGGTGCCATTTGAAAGTACCCAGGAGAATGGTGCACAAAGGAAAGAACTTTAGGGAAGAAATAAGCAGGGTAATAAGCAGGGTCAGGCCCCAGAAATCTATGAGGGGAGGAAGCTGGCTGTGTCCTAAAGCCATGGAAAACGATTGAATGGGTTCAGTCCCTTTGAATCCTGATTTTGGTGCAAAACTGGGCAAATCAAAATCTCCATCCTGAAATCCACAGGTGAGTTTTTGAAGGTAAACCCAAACATTAAATATTAAATCCTTAAAGTAATATTTCTGAGTTCACCACAAGACAATATTTCACCGAGAAATGAGGATTTCATGTTTTAAAACTGTGAGTTTCACAACTGACATGAATGTGAAGGCAGTCTTAGGATGTGGCTTGGGGTCCTACTCAACATTCGAGAATGTTTCATCACTATTTAAAGTTCTTTTAGGGGCTCTTTTGGGTCTTAGATCCTTACTGTTCACTTTTAGTCAAGAGTTGATGCCTTTAAATCGATGGCATGAAATGGAAAGAGACAAAAATATCCTAAACTACTGGCTCACTACTGGTATGAGGTCAATGTGGGAGCCTAAAAGAAGTGACAAGGTTGTGTTGTGGAAATTTTATCACTGGTGGCCGTGGACTCTTTGTTACCAAGCAGCAACCTTACATCTTTTTGGAAGAAGGGAGAGGGTACAATCAACCCCACTGGGTTAATTGCAGGAGTCAACAGACAAGTACACAGGTTTCAGATCGTTAGGATAGGTGGGAAGAATTTAACTTTTTCATCAACTTGGAGTTCAACTCAAGTGAGCTTTGTCATTGAGCTCATTCAGTGGAATTTTTCTTTTGGTGTTGGCCATACTAAAACATTACGATGCAGAACCTGAAGTTCATTTCATTAGAATAATTGCTTTATCCTTGGCATTGGCACACTTTGCTTTTTCTTAACTTTTCAAATTTCAACTGAAGTTTTGGTTACAAAAATGTAGGCGGTTTTAATGGTCCAAGGATTGTTCCCAAACGTTTGATAAGAGGAGCCTGATGATCAGGAGCTCAGATTTGGCCTCAGCTTTGTGGCAACAGGAGAGAGTTCTGGGTTTTTTGTAGTATTTGTCAAGATCCAAAGGCTTAAAGAGTCAAGGCTAATTCTGCCAAGGGATGGCAGGTGTTGCCGTGGACGGTCCTAAAAATAGCACTGCTATAATAACCCAAGAACAGTAAGTTCACAGGGCTGACAGTTTGGAATTTAGGCAAATTACAAAAAGTCTTTAAATTTTGGGAAGGATTGCAAGTTTTTCAAATTTTGTGGGTACAGGAACTTTGTACGAATCATCTCATCCTTAGGCTATCACATAATTATACATTAAAGCTGCAGAAAATGGGACCACATTGCACCTGCCATGGGGACATTAGGCCTCCCCAAGTGTGCAGTTCCATCAACTTCAAAGACATAAGGATTTGATTAGTTCAGGGGTTTTTCTGTTTTATTCTGAGGAGGACCAGCACTCGAATTAGGATTCTTGGGAGATCTTCTGGGAGGCAAAAGGAAAGACCCAGAGAGTGAGGCAGAGGCCCTGACTACTGTGTGTGTGTGTGTGTGTGTGTGGTGGTGGTGATTTTTTTTGTGTGTGTGTGCACAAAGGATATTGTAATATAAGATGAATGCTTAAATAAAAATTATTACAGTAAAAGACACATTGCCATTAACTCCCCTCAAAATATTTCTCCTTGCTTTGAAGTTCTTCCACTTTCTGAAAAAATTAGAGAATTCACAGAATCAAGATGATCTCCGAAATACTAGCTTTTCTCTCTTCCACTCGTCCTCCTTTCCTTTTCTGTTCTGCTTCAAAAATTTCAAGTCATAGAATAAAGAAATAAAAAGTCATTGATAATTAAACTTACCTTTGTTTATCATTTTCCCCCCTATTGTCCTGGGTCTCTCTGAAGGACCACCTTGCTTACTGTTGTCTCCTCAGAGTCTCACATAGTTTATTACAAAATTGGTTCATTTATATTATTTGGAAAAGGTCCTGAGTCTTGACTTCTCTGCTCTTCTCCCTGTTTTATGTATGTGCATGCGTCCCTCAAGACTCTGAGGAATACCTGTTTCTGCACTGCATGTTGACTGCATTTTTAATATGGGATTTGACAGAGTGGGCTGACCAGTCATCAGGACAGGAGACTCTCTGGTTCTAGGTTCTGAGAAGAGTTCAAGCAAGTGGGTCATCCCAGGCAGGAACCACAGTCTGAGCCAGCCTTAGCACACACATGTTCTTATAGCAAAACCTACAACCTTGGAAAGCCTGGTTAAGAAGAGCAGTCTGGGTACCTTTGCTGTTGGGCTGGCTTATAAAAATTATTTCATTATTTGCAGGATGTTTTAATCTCAGAAATTATCTCAGTGATGCAATGGACTACAAACACACATTTTCTGCCAAGCAGTACTTCCTTGTGTCTATGCAATTTGATTTAGGAAATCCCAGAGAATAAAATTTCATATCTCCATTGGATGCAACTATACAAATAGATGCTTGATTTACACAGCTGACATGAGAGGGGTTATTTAAAAATACCTTGTAGAGTTATTCTCTGTCTTCCTTGATTGTTTTTACTGGTTGCCAAATTGAGCCCCAAATTCCTAAAAAATGTTTATTCTTACCCAACACCAGCTGCAAGTACCAGCCCCAGAGTATTCAAGCACATGAAGTGAGCATTAAGCCACTGGAACTACTTGGTCCTGGGTCTATGCACCCTCCTTTTCCAGAATTAAGGCTAAAGAGAAACTGGGGTAAGGGTGTAGATGATCAGATTTGAGTGGAAGTGGCTTGGCCTGACCTGCTGTCTGCAGATCTTGATTTCCCTCTTCCTATAGCACCTCTCCTGGATAGGTTACATGAAACAGACCTCGCATAGATTGGCTTGTTTCGTTTTTTATATACTTGTAAATGTTGCTGGAAAAGCCTTGAAATGGCAAGGGAATTGTTTCTTTTGTGCTTAGAAAACCTCCATAAAATTATTGTGCTCTCAAGTTATCTACTGTTTGCTGTTTGTAGAGGCCAACTATTAACAAAATGTCACTTTTGACTTAGAAAAGGCTTTAAAAGTTCTTAGTTCTGTTCTGGAGCTGAAGCACAGAATAAATTTATCATTTGTAAATCGTGAGTCATAGGGCTTGAATACGACTGACCACAGGACAATCTGTCGAGGGCAAACTTCTGCTGGTTGTGTACTAAACGTTGAAGTAACAATCGTGATAGTATTGTACGGGAACCCAAATTTCTACAAGGGTCATTATGAATCTTGATTTAAAAAATTTTATTGGGGAGAAAGTTTGATGCACAGCAGCTTAATCTATGGTTTCATTCATTGATGGACTCTTTCCCGTCTTGCTATGGATAGCCACGAATTAGCTTTAATTGCTAAATTGTAGAAAATTTCAAATATGTGTTCCAAAAGATAGGATCAATACTGCTTCTTTGATACAGATTATGACCAGTAATTCAATATTATATAATTTGGGCCAGAATGGTATTACTACTTAACATTCTAGAAGATAAACACACGACTTATTCGTTGTAGAATCAATCTCCCCAAACAGAACTGAAATCAGGCAGGTCAGAAAAAAGATAACATGATTGATGTTTCTGGAAAGAATCCGCCCAATTTTAAAAGTGACCAAAGGGTAACGGATGTGCACAGTGAGGTGGGTTTACCCTAAGAACAGACTGGTCATATTAGAATTTTAGACACTGACTCACAAGGAAGCATCTGAGCAATGGGTTCTGCTGACACAGATGCTGTAAGTCTCTTGCAGGAACGATGCATTGACTTAGACTAAATGACCTCTGTGGCACTTTCCAGCTCCCAAATGGCATGTCTTGGCAATCTCTTAGTAAGAAAGAGCCGTAGGTACTTACGTGGTATTAAGCCTTGGTTAGCCAACTGCTCCTGGGTCCTTCTCTGTTGAAGTCGTAACTGTAAAACTTAGAAAAGGAGGTGTTAGTTTGTGAGTTGGGCTAGCAATGCTTATAATCACTTATATTTGCATACTACTTTTCCATAGGCCTTCTCATTTTAATTCTAGAACAGTTCTGAAGTTTATTCTCAAGAGTTATAGATGCAGAGAGAGAAGAATAAGAGAAACAGAGGGCCTGAAAGGTTTGCAGGAAGACCTTAGAAACCTGGATTAGAATACCAAACTCCTCCATGAAGTGCATACTATGTTATAGGACCCCCCATATGTGTTGTTTGAATGATAAATATTAAATTCTGCTTGGGTGGTAACCTGTGATTTGAAAGGGGGGACAGCGAGGAGAGGACTGGCTTGGGATTATTATAGGTTCAAATTCTATCTTTCACCTCTTAATAGAGATGAACCCCTGGGTATGTTACTTAGCCTTCCTGACCCTCAGCTTTCCCTATATGTAAACAGGAATGATGCCTGCTTTCCAGTGCTGCCATAATCTAATAAAACAAGTATATATAGTATATGCAAAGCAAGTATCCTTAGCAGAATGTCTGTCACACAAAGTGTCGTCAATAAATGACAGCATAATGAGAATCTGAATTCTTTTGGGAATTCAAAGAAGGACACTGGAGTGATATCTTAGAATAACAAGACATTATAAAATTATCAAAAACTTGATGTCATATATTACATATATATCTGTAGCACAAGTAGATTATATCATATACATTTAAATAATAAACATTTAATCATTGGAATGATTACATTATGAGTATAGTTCTTATAATTTTCTCTTCTCTTGTACCAGGGATCGAACTCATGACCTAACGCTTGCTAGGCAGGTGCTTATGCTACTGTGCTAAACCTCCAGCCCTATTTTCTCTTTTCTCACATACATTCTCTCTCTCCCAGACAAGTTTTTCTCTTTGAACAGTTAGCCTCCCACTTTGCAGAGCTATCCTATTCTCGGGAAGATTCTGAGATTGCCCTCTTGGTTTCTGGGTTCAAGTTGCTCACAAGAAGAATGGTAGGAGCAAAAGTTTGCAAAGAAAAGGATCAGTTCAATTGTTGCACAGTGAAAAGGAAGACCGTGAACTGCTCCTATAAAAGAGAAATTGGACTAAGAAGAGGACAAAATGAAAAGGCAAAGTGGGCCGAGTTTCAATTTTACTTAGTACTTTAGAGTGAGGCTTCAAAGCAAATGCAGTCACAAGATAAAAATCAAAGCTAAGGTACTAGGGAAAGATAATTTTAAAAGTGTTGGTGTGTATTTTGAATTGGATTCTTGTCAACATTGTGAGAGAGACCAATATTGTTTGAATTGCTTTTAACTAATCTTGGCTGCTAGATTGTGCTTCATCTAATAAGCTCCATAAGACTCCAAGTAAGGATAGCACAACAAAGATGAACTGAATTATTCTGCATTGTAGGAAAGTAAGACTTTAAGTTTACTTTTAGACCAACCTTCCTGGTTAAAACTGTAAACTCTGAGCAAACCATAAAGAAAATACTACCAGAGGATTCTAAATAGTGAACGGACTCAGCCAGATTGCAGAGAGGTTGCATTGGGACTAAGCTCCCTACTGGGGGAGGTTTACGCTCGAGGAGGCCTGTAGACACAGAGTGGCCTGTCATAGGCAACTAGAACTCCCAAACCAAAACAAAACAGCCAGAAGAATCAAGGGAAAGTGGCCAGATAACCATGGCTGACTGCCAGCCAGTGACAGAGAAATCAAGCGAAAGAGAACACTGGGGAGAGTCCAAGAGTCTAATTCTGTGCCTGAAGCCTGCAAGGTTCCTGTTGATTCCTTATGAATGTTTTTGGGGAACAGCCCCAAAACAGCACAGCACACTGGAAACTCAACTGAGATTTGAACCTGTGTGCATGTAAACAAAAGACCATTTAAAATTTGGATGTGCTTGAATGAATGAACTATCTGTTAAAATGAAAAAGTCAGCGTTTCTCAGAGGATTATTACAGAATCCAGTACTAAGTAACAAGACTTACTACAACGTCTAGGGTACAATTCAAAAGTAGTCTCTATTCAAAGTTCAAAGACCCATTTGAATTAGAGAAGGCAAAAAATAAAGAAAAGAAAAGAAAACAAACAAACAAACAAACAAACAATAACAACACTGACCAGACCTCAGAAGAACTGAAAGCATAGATTTAAGAATATCCATTTATGTGCATGTCATAACAGCATTTTTCACAATAGCCAAAAGGTGGGGTAAGTGACAAATGTCTATCCAGAGCTGAATGACCAATCTGTGGAATGAATCTGTGGTGTGTAATATGTCAATACAATGGAACAATATTCAACCTTAAAAGGAAGCATATTCTGACATATAATATGACAGATAAACCTTATAAGCATTACGCTAAATAAAATGAATCACACTCAAAAGATCAAATACTGTATGATTCCATTTATACCAGGTAGCTAGAGTGTTAAGTTCGTAAAGACAAAAACTAGAATGTTAGTTGCCAGGGGCTGGGAAGTGGGGGCTATGTGGAGTTATTATTTAATGGATATAGAGTTTCAGTTTTGCGAGTTTAAAAAAATTTTGGAGATGGAAGGTGGTGATGTTTGAGCAACAATCTGAACACACTTAATGTCACTGAACTGTACACTTAAAATGGTTCAGATGGTAAATTTAGCATTTTGCATACTTTTTAATGCATTACACATACCGGTAAACTACAATGTTTAAAAATAGAATACTAAAAATAAACCCTGAAGCTCAAGGTAAAATTTAGTTCTTTAAAATAAACTCAAATCAAGTGAATATTACTAACCATGAATCAGTAAGCTAGACATTCGAGGTGAAATAGTCTCTTAGAATGAAGCATGAAAGGATATAGGAAAGCAGACACACTGTAAAACACAGAAAAGGTTCTAGGACCGAAAGCATTTATTTGCTATGGCTTGGATTTTTGTGCCTTTCTCCCTTTCCATATTCCTATGTTGAAATCCTAACCTGCAAGGATATGGAATCAAGAGATGAGGCCTTTGGGGAGGTGTTTATGTCACAGGGCTGGGGCTTTCATGAGTGGGATTGGTGTCCTTATAGAAGAAGCCTAAGAGATCTGTCCTGTCCTCTTTTACCTTGTGAAACATTAAGAAACCATTTTCTACAAACTAAGAAAGGGGCCCTCATTAGATACAGAGTTCTTCCGCACTTTGATCTTGGATTCTTCAGTCTCCCAAACTGTGAAAAAAACAAGTATTTTTGGTGGTTTATAAGTTACCCAGTTTATAGGGTCTTAGTATATCAGTGCAAACAAATTAAGACATTATTTCTGAACTAGAGATTTGTTAATATTTGCATTCTGTTTTTTTCTAGAAGTTTCCATGGGATCAACATCATAAGCTTTGTAAGTTTTCCTTCAGCACCTGCCTTTTATTAGTGACACATCACAGATGTGTCCCCACGCCACTTAATGCTCTTCATAACATATTACTGTAGGAGTCGGATAGTGTTTCTTTTTCTTCTTGTTTATTCTCTGGTAATTCCCTAAGTCACTGGACCGAGTGATCATCTTTGCACATTTAGTTGGTTTCTCAGTTTTTAAGATTAAAATAGCAGCAGATACTTTTGTATTCATTTTTTTACACATCTTTGATATTTAAGATACTTTTGGGTGTGGACCCAGAAGTGAGATGCCAAATTAGAAAGGATTAGGCACGCATGACAAACAGCTCTCCTGAAAGAATGTCTCATTTCCTTTCACTATGAAGTGTGGCTGAATTGTCCATTTCCTTTGGCCTGGTTGCTCTCCTCACATGGAAGCTGCTGTCAATCTGCTGTCCTGGTTGCTGGCTCAGAATTTCATAGAAAGGGCGTGGCCAGAGATTCAGGGCCAGGATGAGTTTAGCGGTGGCATTTGTCCCTGGGTGGCTTCTGCTCCGGGTCTGGCACAGCTCTGCACTGGAGGTCAAGCCCCAAGGATGGCATCCCTACCCGTGGCCACTTTCCACTGTATTTGGAAGCTCTGACAATTCAGGCAGACGAGCTCTGCTCCCACCAACCTGACATCTGGTGAGCCTGCCTTTCCCTCTGGGCATGGCTATTGCTCAGCCCCCTTCCTGGAGAGCTTTTTGTGTTCCCTTCCTAGTTTAAGCTTGCTGTAGCATTTGTGTCCACAGAGGTCCTGGCAAACCTCCACGGACCCATTGTAGCTAAAAATACTCAAAGCAGTGGGTTACTTGCTGGCCCGTGCCTGCACCCTACTCCTAGTTCTGACCACCTACAGGTGACAAGTATTCATGGAGCTCCCTCTCTCCACTTTCTTAGAGACCTTATTATCTTTGAGAAATAAATGCAGTCAAGTTCTTAATCACTACCCATGTGATCCTGATGTTTTATTAATGACATATATCTCTATCATGGTTCTGGCTTTGGGTGTCAGTCTTTCTTAGTTCCTAGAACCAAGGCAAATTGTCATCAATTTTGACCACTGTCAGCAATGGAAGTCATTTGGGTGTTTCAAATAGCTTCTTTTCTTCAGGAGTCTGGGCCTCTCCTTTCTGATTTCTGCATCAATCTGGCTATTCTTGTCTTGGTGCTAAACTATTCAGACTATCACAGAGCAATGACACATAGTTTTATGTCTAGTAGGGAAAATCTTCTGTGACCCTTTAAAAAAATCATTGCCAAATTAATCCTGTATTTTTGTCTCCTGGGTAAACTTTGGAAGTATAGTAGCAGGTTCTACCATCACCCCAAATATCTACCTTCTCCCAAAGGGAGGACCATGCTCTTTTAATATTCTGCAACCAATGAATTAAAGTGAACTCTATTCATTTAGAGAAAAAAACCTCCTTTTGAATGCTGTCTTTAAATGTTTAGAAACATGTAGGTCATCAAATGAAGTAGAGGACCAAGACTAGGTTCCTTGCATCCAGTTGACTGGGACTGGGAACTCAATAATGAAAAATAAGATATTTCTGTGTAATGCTAGGATTGTAATCAGATGTCACTTGCCCATGCCCGGGAAAAGAAGCAGAGACC